CCTCCATATCACCTTGTACGACCGTACCTCAGCAGTATAGGCCCCCAGTATTCCACCACAAAAGCAAGCTTTGTGTTAGTGTTAGAGTCTTGAGTGTATTCTTTTATTTTGAAAACACCAATAACCTTACTCTCACTGTCTGAAAGACGTTCCCTCCTGAGATATTTCTCACAAATACCACTTATTGTCGTATATCATAGTTTATTAGAGCAATACAGCATACCCAGCTCTTCTCAGAGCCATGGACAACTATTCCGACCCAACAAACAGTGTATAAGCTTTAATTAGTTTCGAACAGCACATATTCGCAGTACTATCTCTAAGCTATAGAATCACTGCCTCTCATATTTATCACTTTGTACGACAGCACCTCAGCAGTATAGACCCCCGGCTTTCCACTCCCAAAGCATCTCTTCCGCCGATGCTAGAGTGGAAAACAAACCTTACTTCTACAATAAATTCGCCACTCTACTCTCACTGTCTTAAAGGCTTTCCACCTCGATATATCTCCGAATGGCTCCCAAAATTGACATATTTTATAGTTTATCACACCAATACAGCACTCTTAGCCTGAAGAATCCTAAAACTATCACCGCTTTCTATCTCAATACATCAGAGTTACAATCAAGCCCACAGGCACATCAGCAGGCACCTCATCAGGCGCATGGCCATGCGTATGCATACCTATATGTATAATCATGCGCGTATATGCATGCAAAAGTTTACTTACCCTCCTCGCACAAGCGTACCATATGACTAGACAATTTCCATGAAATAGGAGAATCTAGATAAGCCTCGAGACTCCAGATAAGCATAGAGAATTCTTAATTGAAGACTAGACATGAAATGAATGTCTTTTTAGCTTAAAAAATATATGTCCCCCATTGTGCCTAAGGGTATGAATTGCCAAAAACGCATAGTACTTACACTATGACAATCAGCTACATGCTACTCTTTTTTATGTTCTCTGTCTATCATCCGACTTTCGTCTATCTAATGTTTGAAGAAGTACAAGCTAGCCTCACATTTCAGCATTGGATCTGAGTACGTGTGCAACCTGCTGCAATTGATCTAAGGTTGTTGCAATTCCCGGTCTCCGAGCAGCCTTCTGGGATGCTAGATAACCCGACAGCCCAGTGGTCGGCACAATTGAAGGAAGCTCTCGCAACTTTTTTGCTGTAGCCGAAAACCGAATATTATGCAAAGCAGTCTTGAGTGTATCGACATATCCCTCTAGCTCCTGGATGTCTTGCTCCGAAGGTATACCGTTAACTTGCGGTGTGCGGAAGCTGGATTCAAGCTCTATCCAGTTATGCCATGATTCAGATGCAACAGACTTTGAAAGTAAGTAGCAGTACTTGCAGTGACAGAGTCAAATGAAAAGGAATCAAGTCCGTAAGACTCAAGTCCTGTGCGAACAGAATGTCCAAACATGAGCTCTTGAGTCATTGTGTGATAAACCTCAGACACGGAACTACGTTTGACATAGTTTCGCATGATCGCTACCATTGCTTGACGCAGCTCACGAGTATTGAAGCCTAACTCTTTGACTAGCATGTCGTTGAACCCTTTCTGGCGCAGTAAAGTACTCTCTTTTATGCTGAAAAACACATATTGGTGGAGAATATATTGGGAAAGTTCAATGGAGCTTCCATGAAATCGAGGCCAGTGTTCGGGGTTCACCTCGCAATATTCGGGGCCAAGCAAGTTGGCTTGTATCTGTCTCAGAATCACAATATGGTACAGGAGATACTTTGAAGTAGTTGCATCCAGCCGTTTAGTAAGTGGCTTAGTTGACTTGTCTCCTTTGGTGTAAGTCGTAAAGAGAACGAGACACCTGGTATCATTGTCTATGAAAAGCGCTCTGTTTGGTCCTGCATAAGTAATATCCACCAGCTCTGGAAATCGATAGGAATACCCACAGCCCAAATATACCATCCAGATAAGGTTCTCGGTTATTTTATCAATTGACTCAAATACATAAGCTTGCTGCTCTTCTGAGAGCATCTCGTACCTCGCAAAAGAAGGCAAAAGGCTTTGCAAATACTCGGAAGGGAAGAGATCAAGAAGTGAGCCTTTAGGATTGAAGCGGCTCTCGGTAAGAGATATCTCATCACAGTGCAATAGATCAACCGCAAGATCTTCGACAGTGGGCAACCGGTAGTAGTTTCTAAGACCCCATATCAATTTGTCACATTGCATTTTACGATTGCCATAAAACCATTGTATTTTGTTTTTGTTCAAAAGCTTATCCGAAACAGACACGCCGTCGGGCCTCTGTAGAAGAACGCGGTAGCTGGCGATTGTACTTTGCTCCTTGAATACCTCATGGTAAATGCTTGTCACATAGTTCCACATGTTTCCGGATGGGCTGTTCTTGTCAAATGGCGAATGCATATTAGAAGTAGGAGCGACCGCCAGAGTGGCATTGATCAGAAAAAACTTTAGAGTGTCAAGTGAGTGACGGGTATTGCTCAATGTTGCCAGTTTTTGGCTTGAAATATGGTATACCTGGTTCCCTTACTTTCCAGTCAAACACAGTCAACTTGACTAATGTCTCCAGTATCGAGCCTAAGCCATCTGTGTCGGTCAACATATTGTAGCATAGCTTAGATATGCATGTGAGTTTTTGCTGATCAGAGGGCTTGTCTAGCATGAGTGGCTGAAGCAGCTCCTCTAGATACTCCTTGCACTCGTAAGGAAACAAGGATAGTTTGTTAGCGTGCAGAAGCAGATAGTAAAATGGGGTAAAGGAACGAGCATAGCTGTTTATAGTAGTATTTTGAAAACGTTTGACCACAGATCCACCTCGGAAACTGGAAAAGCTTTTACGCTGCATTATTCTTGAGTTCCGAGCAGAGATAGTCAGATTGTAGCATCGGTTAAACACAAACGTGCATTCCACTCGGAACGCAGCCAATGACTCTTCGAGATTCTCTAGTATCTTATTATCTGACTCACAAAACTCAATGGTATCCGCCATTAACACGTTTTTGAATATGGTGTTTACTCTGTCGGAAGCAAGTTTCTGTTGTTTCTGGTTGAAAGTGTTTTGCCGCCCGTTAAGATCTTGAGATATAAACGAAATTGTCTTGAGCTCTAGCTGAGGGCGTAACTTGGCATCATCCAGCTCTGGGACATAAACCAAGTACTTTTTCGGTGTGCTTGAAGGAATTGGAATAACTTGTAATGCAAACAAGGGCGCTTTCGCTCCAGAGAGATCTCGGGCTGCCTTTTTTCGTTCTTTTTTAAAGACATTGTCTTCCCAATAGAATCTGCGCTCCAGAGTAGGTACAACGTCAAACAATGCTTTTGAACTGCATGTAAAGAGATCTCCTGGTGATTTATGATATCCAGAGATGTCGACAAGATGTTGAGTTTCAAAAAAGAGACGAGTGGGCACCCGAAGGTGCGAGGCAGTAGGGCCAGAAGTGTAGACAAAAGGCTTATTGTCCTCTTCTTGGCTATTGTTGTTGTTGCTGCTGCTGCCGTTGCCGTTGCCGTTGCCGTTGCCGTTATTATCAACATGGTTGTTGTTGTTATCGCCATTATTATCAGCATGGCATACATAGTTTTTTACTATATACCCTTCGATAACCGTAAACTCACCACAAGAAGGATACTTTGAGGTATCATTTTTGCCTGCATTGTCCTGAGATCGCGATAGTTGTTGCATGTAGACACCAACAGCCCTTTTCTTGGTAACTGGAGACCTCAAATTGCATTAGTTGCTATTATCCGTCCAAACAAGAAGAATTCGTTCAGAATTTATCCTTCAATTTTCATTCTCAATTGTTGTGGGAGCGTCACCGCCAACAAAATCATGTGAGATTGTCACCACCTAGAAGCTAACGTAGGAGTGCCACCACTAACAGGATCCATGTGGTATTACTTGAAAAAACAAATTGGTTTTAAAACAAGTTGGGAAGAAAAAACACTTAGTTGGTAAACGAATGTAGTTGAAAAAAACGCGTAGTTAGGCGAAAAACTTAACGATTGCATGGTATCAATATGGGAAAAGCGCACTGCTTGAGAAGCCCTCCCCTATTAGGTTCGATCTTCACAACTCATCATTTGACTTGTGTTGTCGTGTGTATCTCTTAGCGGTATATTTTCAGGCTGTACATCAGCAATGCCAAGATCACCGGTAGTTTCTTGATCACGAGTACCTATTCCACCTGAAGTTTCGTCATCACCAAGACCCATTACACCTGTAGTTTCGTCATCATCAAGACCCGGCTCACCTTCGATCTCCTCACCTGCGTTCTCCCCACCTGCGGTCTCCTCACCTGCTTCCTCCTCCAGCCCATAGAACTCCCTTATCGCCTTGGCGTAGTTCCGCACACGCATGGAATCTTTGTGTAACGACCGTTTGTTCCAGAGTGTCACGCACCTCCCCGCCTTTCTCAAACGTCCTGCCATCTGGATGTATGTCGACACTGGCGGCATGTACCCCACAAGAAGCACCAGTCGCACCTCGGCTATGTCAATGCCCTCGCAAACCAGCTTTGTTCCCACTAGCACCTTGGTATCCTGGTTTTTGAAGTTCTGTATCCTCTTCACCTTTTCCTTAGCTTCGAGATCGCCATGGACCCAGATGCAATCGATATCCAGATTCAGAGCAAACTCCTCTACTCTGGCTTTCTCCCCAAGTACAACAATCACCTTTCCGTCTTGCTGTTCGTTTATGTATTGCAATGCAATAGTATCAAGCTGCCCCTGCTTGACTTTCTCAAAAGTCTTTTCCACATGTTTCAATGGCATCTCCGTTATCATGTCCCATATCTCGACGTCTTCGAGATTCAAAAAGTCCAATGGTCTCTTTAGCCCTTCTTTTCCGGCTGTGGCTGTTAGTAGCACCACCTTCCAGAAGTTTGACAAAGGAACAGCAGGAATGCCTCTGAAACCGGATGCTCTAAAATCTCTTTCATCATACAGATTATGACACTCGTCAATCACTAGCATTCCTAAGGATGCACCCTCTATCAGAAGCCTGAAATCAGATCTTCCCATGTTATCGAATATTCCCACGTAAACGTCACAAAAGTCGTGACGTCCAACAGGGTCATCACTCAGCAGATCGCGCACAAAGCCTACGCGCAGTCCGTCTCTCTGCAGTCTTTGACTCATGTCTCCGAGAAGCGTATTGTAAGGAACAAAGACAAACGAGACGACATTTTTCTTGCGCAATGCCAACATGGGCAACTCAAACAGCAACGTCTTACCAAACCCCGTAGGAGCCTGAATGGGAATCACTGGTGTCGTTGATAGATATATCTCACTGACAAGTAGCAGCTGGTCCTGGCTGAGCTTGAAGCCCCTCCCGTATATGCTTTGCCCAGCTTGGAAAATGTCCTTAAGACTGACATTGGGTCGGAAGGGAGGCGTTGCGCTTTCGATTTGGCCACTTGACCTCGGTGCTGCTCTAATAGTAACATCAAGGTGAATCCAAGCATGCCACATTCTGGCAACTCCCAGCTGCAGCTCTCCAGCAGTTGAAGGCTCCACACTCTCGATGGAGAAAGGATCAACCCCGTAGACCTCTCTGCCTGTTCTGACTGAGTGCGCAGACAATAGCTCCTTCATTGCATCCCACAAGGTTTGCCCCAAGTCGCTATCGGTTTTGATATACTTCCTGATAATTGCTATCATGGCGTGCCTCAGCTCTCGAAAGTTTAGTCGCTGGGTGTCTCGCACCGATTCGGGGTATTTCTTCAACATAGAAAAGAACGTAGTGTCCTTGATGAGTCTTCCTTTGGCCACATCAACGAAGAGATACGAGCGAATGATACTAGCTGAGATCTTATCATTTGTAAGAGTCTCATCTCCCTCGAAATGAAGCGGTACCTCCTCGTCACTGTATATCGCCTCTCCAAAGATATCAGGACCAATCTTGTCGTATTCCTTGCCCACAATATCAATCTGTATGGGCCGTAATACCATAATAAAGTAGAACACATAGTTCGAGGTCCGTTTGTCCAGCATCTTTATAATCTTTTTGTAGCCACGAACCTTGGAGTACGTTGTCAGCAGCTGGATGCATCGCGACTTATCATCCAAGAACACGTTCCGGTCGTCACCTGCGTATTTCAAAGTCAAAAGCTCTGGAAATCGATATGGGCTGCCACATGAGAAGTAGACCATCCACATGAGCAGGGTAGCCAGCTCGTCAATCATTTCCACAACGTGCTCTCCGCGGGTTAGTGGCTTGGCCAGGAGTCCTTTGGCTTCTTCATGACCAAATAGACTGACAAATGAGTGTTTGGGCTGCAGTTTATTCTCATTGAAGTACGCGTGTGGACTATCCAGCACATTTATAGCTGCTGCCTGCACATCAGGTAGCATGTAGAAAGCGCTCAAATCTTTCAGCAGCATATGTGTCCTTTCGAGAACATTGGTATTGAACTCCCTGATGTATCCGCGTGAGAAGTACTTACCACGAAATACTAGGCCGTCAGGAGGCTTGAACTCTAGATCATACGACATGTCCATCACACTTTCTGCGACAATCTCATGATATACGTGCTTCAGCCAGTGCCACTCCGACGCACTGTCATCCGTGAAAATGGTTTCTCTTTCTTCTCCATTAGTGTACAGTATTGCGTACTGCACAAACTGCTTGAACGCATCCAGGCCCTTTCTGATTTCTTCCACTCTGGCAATTTGAAGCTGCACTCCTTCATAATTGAACCCAACTAGCCGGACAAGAAGATGGAATAAGGGTCTCTGCTCGGTAACCATTTTAAAGAATATTTCCGATAGTCTTCTGGCTCGACCTTCGGTGTCGAGAACATTCCAAGCATCTGTTTCAAGGTCCCAAGATGACAAAGAGAGCTCCTTCAAGTGAAGGACAATGTAGTAGATCAGACTTGCTTTTTTGCCGTAGTTGTGCAGGGTTTGAAGTTGCAAATGTTTCAAAATAGGGTCCTTTCCAAATGACCTTGCATAGGTCAGTCCAATCGAACGCAGACGCATGCTGCTACGGGTTGATCGGTAGATGTGTTCGAATAATTTAATGCATTCTTCATCGATCAGTGGTTTGTCGGAAAGGTAGTTACGAAAGAGGTCTCGATCTTGATCCGTGAACTCTAACTCATGTAGACACAGCAGTGTGTACCGAACGGAGCGCTCACGCTGATGGTGTAACTTGAGAACGCGCCCTTCATCTTCAGGACCACATGTAACTACCAGCGGCGTATCATTTAGAAATAGATACTTTTTCTGGTTGTTAGCATATGTCAGCTGCACGACCTCGAGCTCCTGGGCCTGTATCTTATCAGCGGCTCGTGTTCTTGTCGGTTGAAGCAGCTTATACCCATTGTTAGTTGGGTAAAACTTCTTTTTCACTGTCTCCACGGCCTGGAAGAATTTCTTCGAAGAGGTGGGAAACAGATCACATGGCTGAGATTTTAATCTATGTCTTGATATCGATTTACCTCGGGATTGGAACTTTTTATTAACATGTGTTACCCCACTTGGATTGTCAAAGTTTATCTAATAGAGCATAGCTTGAACATAGCAGGGAAATATTCATTCAACAGTCATCGCAGAGAGCACTTGTGAAAAATCAAATAACGAGAAAACTACTGAAAACTAAAAATGTTTTGAAAAATAAATATAAAGGAAAATGAACTGTTCGCAAATTTGTTACAAGAGAAGTGCTATTCAACAGCTCAGGGGAGGCTGTTCACACATCATTACATAATAATGCATGTCTATATGTACAAGAATGCAAAAATATGTACTGTAGCATAATAGTCATGTGATATTTTTTTTCCTACCCATCAGCTTCATGAGCGTGCCAATGAATATCATCGGATCCCAACAACTTCAATAGCGAAAAAGGATGTCACTGGAACATGCAGATACTGTGCTATATAACGGCATCTTCAAGCCGTAACACCGTCAAGCTACCGCTACCGCTCTCGGTCTTGAACTCCCTACGCTCTAGAGCAGAAACGAGCCACTCCAATTGATCTATCCTTCAATGCAAACAGTGATATTGATAAAAGCCACAAGGAAAAATGGCGTCTTCACTAATATTTCAACACATTTGGCACGCATACCAAAGCAAATTTCGTTTTATTATTCTTGAGGCATATCTGCGTCAGTAGTAGTTAGTTTGCTGAAATAGTCATTTCAGTCGTTCGTGGTGTGTCTAGTTAGCTCGTATTAGGATCTGTGATTCTACTTATTTTTCTAGATGTAAAGATTTAAGATCTCGACATAGACCATCGGTATCTATACAATTAATTGCATGACGGGTACTGGTGACGAGAAGTGATCTAGACCAATCGTTGGTGTATCAGCTTCCATTAATCGGACGCAATGATACTGAAACAGTGTAACTATAGGCACTAATCAACGTCAATGTCTAGACCTCAGCATTCTCTTTTCATTATCTGAATGGATGTGCTGAATTAAATATATTTACCTGTCACTTTGTACTATTCTGTCATAGCTCTAGATTATGCAATTGACGCTATTTAGCAACAGCACAGTCACCCTGACAAATCTCGATACATTAAAAAAAACACCAGTATTTATACATTTCTTGATCGGCCGGACGTGCCCGTCGTATTAATCCATGTAAACAAAATAATGGTGGCTACTCTGGTAGCATATAGCCGGCTTACTGTCGTTACATCAAGTCGGGAGTGGATACCATGCGATTTTCACGGAAATTTCAATATCACTTCAGACTATACTGACGTGGTTAAGATTCCGACGGATATATAATGTCTTGACACAATTACGAATAGTCCTACCAGGTCTGCTTTACACGATAAAGATCGAAAAAGCTAGTATAAAACAAGAGACATCGCTAATTTTATTGAGGCACATCTGCGTCAGTGGTGGTTAGCTTGCTGTCCTGGTCATTTAAGTCGTTCATGATGTATTAAACAATTTTTATTGGAATCTGGGATTCGCTTATCTCTCGGTGATTCTTTCGGATCTGAGGATAACCCATCGAGTTGAGTAACTGGTCGTTATTTATATAACAATCGGCTGGGCATAGAAGCTATTACTCAGCTTTTAATAATCATACGATACATCGTATGATACATTAGTAATATCCAATGTGTCATCAATAAATCATCAGACCACTATAGGGTATCATCTGTCACTTGTCTCCAATTTGAGAAGATGTATCGAATAATTGATCGACTGATCAATGTTTGATGATATCACTTTGAACTATTATGTCATGGCTCTTCACCATGCAATTGACGCTATCTTAACAGTAGCACATAGATCCTGACAGATTTAACAGCGCCAAGAAATGATCCACATTGACACCAATACTGTTTATAAAATACCAACTACCCGTGACATACGGTGGCTGCGAGATAACGACATATAGCTATACGCATTCATCTTCCTTCTATCAACTTGCTTTTGCCAGTTGCTACAGCACCGCACTTACGATGGGGAAGAGCTCAGAACAATCCGCTAAGCACATTACCTGTCACGTCTTCGTGCAACGCATAAACTCTTATCTTTCTATATTCGGAAATCTTATCTCTCATTTTCTAAACTAATTATTGAAGCCCAGTATGTCCAATTGGGAAACTGAGAGCGAGGCGAGATGTGCGAGGGCAACTCGCTACGACAAGCTAAACAACTGGACTAAATGCCTGCCCCAATGAGTGCTTGGGAGTATAAAAGTGAACTGTCTACACCCGAAAAGGCTCCGGCTAGTCATTTCTGGGCCTATGTTAGACAGGACGAGGAGCAACCCGAACCATGCGAACACTTACTTTCACGTCCACGATATGTTGCGGACTAGGTTCCACTGGACGTCAGCTCTCAGGATGCGCATGGGAAAGCCGGAGTACAAAAACGAGAGGCCGGTGTTCGAGAGAGAACACCTTTTGACGCGCATGGCTCGTGCTTTCTGTGTATTCGGTAGGAAAGGGTACTCGGAGAGCTCTGCAGGCCACATTTAGGTCCGGGATCCAATCACTCACAAACGTTCTGGATTAAGCCCTGAGAACGCCACTTTTCGTGGATGCGAGTGTCCGATCTTGTGCACGTCAATGGCAACGGAAATATACTACCAATCAAGTGGTTATTAACAGAGCCGGCTTGAAAATTCACTCACACCTGCACCGCGCCAGACCCGACGTGATGCCGTCTGTCACGCTCACAGCGTGTATGACAAAGCTTGGTCCGCATTTGGTCGTGAGGCCGAAATGCTGAACCAAGACGCCTGCACATTTTACAAAACGCACAAGGAGTATCCGAATTTTGGAGGGACCGTGCTTAAGCACGCGGAAGGTGAGCGGTTGACTACCCATTTACATGACTACAAGGCCACAATACTGCAAAACACCGGACTTTGACCATTGGCGAGACAATCGACGAGGCGGCGTTTCTGATCACTATGCTGGAGCTTACGTGCAAAGTCCAGCTGCAGGTCAAATTGGTTTCTAAAGCGGGCTGGAGAAAAAGATCATTGGAGATGAAGATGCGAGCTTCTCTCACTTTACCACTTCCGATCCGGAAACTTTATACGCGGAGTTTTGGCCTGAATATGAACTAGAAATAGAGTTAACAAACAGAGCCTTTGAGAAGTAAAGAGGGTGGATGCGTGGAGCCGGTATCGCAGTAGCGTAACAAACAGGCCAAATTTCAGATACTTCAGTTCATTTTCAGCAATATCGTTACGTATTTGGCAAAAAAGGTAAACATTCTAGTTTAATTTGCCCATAGCGTAAAGTACATAGCCTAAATTCTAACTTTCTAGTTTTGGTTTTCGCAATGCTAATTAGCCAAATATTTCTGCTGCTTTTTAGACCACTTATCGCTTATGGACAAAAAACAAAGTCAAACCAACCACAGCAGCTGCACCAGCTGCACCAGCAATTGCAATCTCTGGTGCTCTCGTGATGTGAACCAAGTCCTAAAGCTATACACAGTTAAAAATGTTACTCCTCCCGTACTTAATAGACAAGTAAAGTCACTCCATAAAGGGAAGCTGAGAACAAAGGCATTCATTTGCTTGGCTCTACAAATAGCTATATCTTCGACTGATTCAAATACCAAGTGCGCCGCTCTTCTCTCTCCTGCATTCGTGATCCAACTAACGACTTTCAAATGAAGCTCCAAACTATTAGCCTCCCCGTGTTGTGCAGCAGCTTGTGCTTAGCGTATTCCACCTCTACTGATTTTGACGAAAACCTGCAAGAAGCGTGGGGTCAGGACTGGCCGTTCTCAGGTATTCAGACTTTCGCACATCTCCCACATGAGAATTGTCTTGTAAATAAAGATATAAACTTTGATATTGGAGTCATTGGAGTTCCTTTCGACACAGCGGTAACCTTTTGGCCCGGCGCTCGCTTTGGGCCTCAGGCGATTAGAACAGCATCGCAAAGACAGAGCTCGTTGAGAGGCTTCAATTTCAGAGCTGTCATCAAACCTTATCAGAGCTGGGCCAAAATCATGGATTGTGGGGACGTTCCGGTCACACCCATGGATAACGCCTTGGGTTTGCAAATTATGGACGCGGCATTCGAAAACTTACTGGACAGAAACAGCACAGCTTCGCAATCGTCACTGCCACCGCGGTTTGCTACCTTAGGTGGTGACCACAGTATTATTTTGCCCGTCTTGCGCCAGCTTTACAAAGTATACGGTCCGATCTCCGTTATACATTTCGACTCTCATCTGGATACTTGGGCTCCTTTCAAGTACCCGTCTTTCTGGCACAGTGCACAGTCCGAGTTTACGCATGGTTCGATGTTTTGGATGGCGAAACAAGAAGGTCTATTGTCTGAAAACTCGAATGTGCACGCCGGTTTAAGGACTCGCCTCAGTGGTACTGGATGGGACGATTACGAAGAAGACAATTCTATGGGGTTCCATAGAATTGAAAGCGACGAGATATTAAAGTCAGGTGTGGATGCGGTCGCTCTAAAAATATTGAGAATTGTTCCTCACGATCGACCTGTGTACATCAGTGTCGATATTGATGTACTTGATCCTAGTGCAGCACCAGGTACTGGAACTGTTGAAGTTGGCGGCATGCTGACACGCGAACTCATCCATTTGATTCGAAGCCTTGAAGATCTGCCACTGGTTGGAGCTGACGTTGTCGAAGTGTCACCAGCGTACGACCATGCCGATATTACAGCTTTGGCTGCATCTCAGGTGGTTTTTGAGCTGATCACAAACATGGTGAAGCACGGGCCCATCGACCCTGCCATTATTCACGCAAATAAAGAAGCTGCCAATAGCGTTGTTTTTGAGAATAGTGAGCATCAAGCGGTGTTGAATAGATCCTAGTCTACAGACTACGGAGCTAGTGAATGTCACGACGCCAATGACAGGCGAACCATATTTTCTTCGTTAAAGCAGCTCTCAAAGATCAAGTGCCAACTAAACTTGTTGGACCAGATGCAGGCTCTGCAGTAAGATTCCCTAGCAATACCGCTAATACTACTTAACTAAAATGTTATAATCTGACAGTAACAAGGCCACTTATGAGTCTCGCTAATTTTGTAAGTACCAACGACAATCATACATATATTTCAGAAACAGAGAAAAGTCAGCGCGAGAAACTACTCCGAGTACTCATCTTATTTTCTCACCTTCATCTCATTGCCACCATCTTCGCCTAGTCTGCTTACAGTGACGAATGTAAGGAAGTACCCATTACAAGGCTATGAGAGCAACTTTTGAAATATATTTGCGGGAAACGTTTCTTAATGGTCATCAGAAGGAAGAGTCAGCGACTATCTAGAATTTCGCTATCGCTGAACGGCAGAAAATGTACAGTCGGTTTTGCACAATCTGTTGGTAACGATCTGGGCAAAAAGTAAACTTTGAACAACCAGAAGCAAGAAGCAGCATTCGATATAGGAAATAGGCCACCGGCTTCTATGTGGTAGTACGTAGGGCATTTTGGATGGGATTGCACATATTAATGTTGTACAGAATGAAGGGTTGATGGCGGGTTTTTAAATGTGGAAACTGCAGCCATGGCCATGTTGTACATTTTGATATGTGTCTCATACTAGCAAGTGCACAAAGGGTGTCAGGCACGGGGGATTGACCTCAATACGTTGTCATACTACAACAAGTTCCTGCCACACTCGACATAGCGTTCCTTGTTTTGGTTGACTCTGATGCTATTAGTGAGTGATTACCGGGTGTTCTTGAAGGATAATTGGATGGATGAGCACTGGGCAGAACATATTCCAACTGGTCTGATAAGGCATTTGGGATTCTGTTGTAGTCGAGATGGAAAACGATAAACGTCACTTACGTGCAGACTTTCATTCGGACCTATAAGATGTAGCAACTGTATTACTGATATGTTGACGTTATAATATTTCGTGTTTTCTTCACAGCAGCACCAGCATATGATGGAGGACGAATTACGCAGCACTGCTGGAGAAGATAGATATCTCGACTTTCTTCGGTCGCCGGCATCATCAAATGACGCACGTCCGGACTCAAAAAAAAAACGAATTATACCTCTCTTTAGAACGGCAAGACCTGTATTCACTAGATCCTGACATTTCATCTTACGCAGACATACTGCGGTATCTGTCTTTTCTAATAGGAGGAACTTGGATCCTTTCTTAATCCTTGTCGCTGATACCGTTGAATTGCGCAAATGCCACTGATATTCTTCACAGAGTAACAAATTTAACATGAGGCGAAAAAGTTTGCTTGAACTTGTTGCTGTGCTTTATACGTGATTTCCAACGTCTTGGAGCCAGATCATTAGGAGGCCATGTGTTGAGTCCATTTTCTTATGCGAAACTAGGAAGTGTTGCAATAATATATCATTGACGTTTACTTAAAAAAAGGGCACCTCCCAGCAGAAGATTAGATCTATCTTAGTATCGTTCTCTAGAACCAGCGGACAGAGTCCAGTAGGTTTTGGGTACAGTGAAGCCAGCTCGCAAACTCTTACGGAGGATCAGGAGGGGCGAGCGGCATGTCTACCACGACAGCCATAGCAACAAGTAGCCCGAATACGCCTGGATGGCCTTTAACAGACGCAGACAAGCTCTTCGCAGAGCCTAGACCACAAGACCACAAGTTAATGTAGAAAGACGTGGGTTCTTCAGGGTCGGATTGCACCAGAGATTTGTCTTCGTGTCGTCCTCAATTCTCTGAAGCTTATCCTGGTAGTTGCTCGGCTGCACCTTCGTTTTCAACGGTTTCCTCCCGAAAGCTAGTCACACGCTACCTCGATAAGATTCCACTGATATTACCTATTGATCGAATGCGATGTATTTAGCTCACGCATTTTCCATATTGATTACCTAGTGCAGAAAGTCCGATTAATACGAAAGTGATTAAACTCCCTAAGTTAAAGTATTCACTTTTCCTGGGGTCGATAAGGACCTAAAAAAATAGTGTCGATTCAGGCAGTGCACAGCGAGTAAGAAAGAAAGAAAGAGAGAGAGAGAGAGAGAGAGAGAGAGAGAAACCTTATACAATGATTTAAGCGGTTCGATGCTGTGTGATTTATCACATTTGACTTGACTACAATTGCAACACTCCACGACCCAATTTTAAGGCCAAAACTGTAACAACCCACCATCCACAAAGACTTCTCTTGAACTTTCCTTGGCTATCATCGCTATGAGTACCTATCAGCACAGTTTTCCTGATGGCAATATTGGAACTGTCACTTCCGTTTTGAGTAACACTGACGTGGAGATCGTGCGGAAAAACCAAGAAATGGAAAAAGAGAAGCTGCCGCAGAATGCTTGGCAAAAGTTCATGAGAGCCCTGGAGGTTCCTCACGAAGACAAACCTCTATCTGCCCTGCGAAACCCTGATCTTGAGCCTATTTTGGTGGAGGAACGGACGTGGGGGTTTTGGTCGTTTTTCGCATACTGGGGTCTTCCTAACTTCGCTGTGGCGACTTTCTCCACCGGCTCTGCCTTGCTGGCGCTAGATTTGAACATTCAGCAATCCATCGGTTCCTTGGTGATAGCAAATGTGCTCATAGCAGTCTTCACCATTTTGAACTCCAACCCGGGTGTTAAATATCACATCGGGTATACGCTAAGTCAAAGAATGATTTTTGGAATCTACGGCTCTTACGTGGGTATCATAATCCGTGTTGGTATATCGGTGGTGTTCTACGGCTACCAAGCATGGCTTGGCGGTCTTTGTATCAACATGGTGTTCGATTCGTTTTCTCAAAATTATTTGCACATGAAGGACACCTTCCCAGAATCAGTGCCCATGGCAAAAAAAGATCTTATCGGTTTTCTTTGTTTCCAATTGATTCAGATGCCCTTTGCATTCGTGAGGCCAAGTCGTGTCAATATTCCATCCATCGTGACGTGCTTCATGACGCTGTTCTCAATCATCGGAATGCTGGCATACCTCGTCCAAACAAACGGCGGCCCCGGCCCATTGTACTACAAGGAGGTGATGCTCTCTTCGAGTCAGAGATCCTGGATGTGGCTATACTCTATGACGATTTGGTATAGCGGCATATCCCCGGCAGTGGCCAACCAATCCGATTATTCTCGTTTCAGTTCCAAAACTTTGTCCTGTTATTTGGGTCTTTTCATCGGTATTGTTGTGCCCGGGACCTTTGTGTCTCTGGCGGGCATGCTGTGCGCTTCAGCCTGTAAAGGGTTATATGGCTCCGCGTACTGGACACCCAATGAAATTGTGGAAGAATGGCTGAGTAATGACTACTCGTCAAAAGCACGCGCCGCAGCATTCTTTATCGGTATTAGCTTTACGGGCTCTCAAGTTTTCCTGAACTTGACCCAAAATGGCTATGCATGCGGAATGGATCTTGCAGGGATATTTCCACGTTACATTGATGTAACTCGTGGTACCCTCTTTGCTCAATTAATATCTTGGGTAGTTCAGCCTTGGACCTTTTTCAACACGTCATCCTCTTTTTTGAATGCCATGAGTTCATTTGGTATATTCGTGACACCTATCATGACTCTAAACATTATCGAATTTTACTGGATTCGCAAATCCAACATCACCTTGATAGACTTCTTTACTCTATCCAAAAAGGGCGCCTATTGGTATTCTGCTGGATTCAACTGGAAGTCTATGTCATGCCTCCTAATTGGTGTAGCTTTAGGGATACCTGGCCTCGTTTACCAATCAGAACCTGATCTTAAAGCGAATTCGGCGATGATGAACTATTATTACGGCTACATGTTTTTTATCCCGCTCGTGACAGGCGTGCTGTATTTCGGGCTGACGTATGCGTTTCCTGTTCATCATGAAAAAATGTGTCAAAATGATCCTTTAGACTTTTTCAATTGTTTCTCTGATGAGGAGTTGAAGAAACTGGGAATGCTACCGTTTCAGGCTGACATGTGCGAGTATCTGGAAGCGCAAGAACCTCGATATAGTAAAGAAAAAACTGTTGTCAATGACGGGAAGAAGCATGACAATATACAGGAGTGCTCCAATTCCAATTAAATCATCTTCTATGCTTAAATATGCTGCAATTAGTCTGTGTCGATTAGTTTCAAGTACTAGTAGTGTTCTTAATAGACATACCTGGAGCTTGCCTTTTTATTTATGTCAGGATCCCTGTACTATTACTAGGTAGCCTCAACTGCATAATAAAGTAGATCAGGATAGAATTATAATGGGAGCCAAGAACTATGACATAATGGTACAAAGTGACAAAGGTAGATATTAAATAAGAACGCTGAGGTCTAGGTGTTGATATGTTGATTAGTGGCTAAATTCACACTGTCTCAGTATCATTGCGTCTGCGGATTAAGGCTGCTACATCAAACTCGTCATCCGAATAGTTGTATAAATAACAATGTCTATTCTTTATGCAAATATTCTATTCTTTAGATCTAGAAAGATCGCGGTGAGATAAGTATGAGCCCCATATCCCTATATTAATTAGACAACCCATGAACGACTTAAATGGCCAGTTCAGCAAGTAAACTACTGCTGATGCAGATATGCTTCAATAAACGTATCTGAAAGTGTCGCGTTCGTGACCGTTGAAATTCCCTGATATAAAGAGCTTCAGTCACTCCCGAGACGACACCTTTCATTACGCTTTAGCGAAGTCAAGAATATACAACATACATCAAGGATGTGCTAATATCAAATAAGAGCTACTCATTCTATAACATAAGCAAAGCAGCAGCAGCCAAGAGGGAGCCTTTGGAAGCACTAAACTTGATACCTTTGTTACCACTGTAGGTTGCAAGGTCATTGGTATAAGCACCTGCAGTCCAGCTCGTAGAGCCCTCGGTCAGAATAGAAAAGGTTCCTGTTGGAGAGGTAGAGTTCACGAGTGTTGACGCAGCAGCCGCAGTAGACGTTTCATCGCTTAGTGGGCAGTAGGTAGTGTAAGTCGTGTGGTCTTGGTAGACAGTAGTAACACCGGTAGTTAACTCGGTTTCCGAACACTTACTGTTGGAGCAGGATGTAACAGTCACGACGGTGGTTGACAAGTTAGGCTTGGTTGCGGTCGATAGGCTGCCTGATTTAGGTGTCTCTGCGGTGACGCCAGTCAATGGGCAGTAGGTGGTGTAAGTGGTGTGGTCTTCATACACAGTTGTGAGGCCGGTGGTAACCGCCGCTTCGGAACATTTGCTGTCTGAGCAGGACGTGACGGTAACAACAGTTGTCGTCAATTGGGAGTCGATGGAGCTGGTTACGCTGCTGTTGGAGTAAACCATTGAATAGAAGGGGGCCACGACTGAAGCTGCGGCAGAGCTAGAAGCTGCGGCTGGCCCTGAAGCTGCGGCAGAGCTAGAAGCTGCGGCAGAGCTAGAAGCTGCGGCTGGCCCAGAAGCTGCGGCAGAGCTAGAAGCTGCGGCAGAGATAGAAGCTGGGGCAGAGCCAGAGCCAGCAGACACTGAGGCTTGCGCTGAGGCAGAGCTAGAGCCGGAGCCGGAAGCTGAAGCTGGTACAGAGCCAAACGCTTGAGCAGGCGCAGAAGCTGAAGCTGCAGCGGAGGCCGACCCGTCATTTGCAGCGTTGGGACCGCATTTGTCCTGTAAAAGACACGTTAGTGGAGCCTGTGCCTGTCCCTAATAGGGTGAGGGATTGCAATAAGGATAAATACTTTCATCAGCTTCCCAGACAACCATCACTGCATCATTAAAAGGAACGCCCGACTCTGCGGTTTCGATGATTATCGTAGTTGGGAAACCAGCTACCGAAGCAAATCCCTGGAGGCAGTCCACCAAGTCGTTCAGCTGATCTGGGTAGTATGTCAAAACCCAAGAAGCGTAGGAAAAATCATCATAGCAGGCTAGACCCTTTCCGTACTTGCTGTAGCACGTCTCGAAAGAACCAGTCCAGAATGGGTCGTTAACGGCAAGAGGCATAAATTGCACATCGAGTGCTCTCAAGGCAGGTAATTGCGACATGTTATATGTGGAGCTGAGTTAATAGGCAAGTACTTCTTCGACGTCAGGATCTGTACCACACTTCCCCACTTTAAACTCGAAATCGTGCCTTTATATAGGAACATCGCGGTTCCTCTTCAACACTGGCAACAAGCGGGAAATTCGGCTCTTCTCTTCACCGTGGTCAATTTCCGTGGATTGGTGTGGTAAACCGTGCATTAAATCACGCTCGACTGTCAACAAATTGCAACATCTGCAAGTAGTAACCACCATGCCGCTGTTTGTGTCTAAATTGCCTCGAGAGCCCGACAAAAACCTTTTCCACGCACATTTACGACGGGCGTTCCGATGTTTTCCTGTGAGCTTCCCAATCCCGTTCTCAGCATTAGTTAGGTCACCATGCAGATTATGGTCTTATGAGTTTGGCACATTTTTTTACAATTATACTATCTTATCGAAGGGATAGGTTTTTTTAGTTGCCTAACATGCTCGAGAAAAACTGGGCTGCAGAAAGCGGCATATCCGGAGAATTAAAACGGGGCGTAGAAGTGACAGCCGAGAGGTCGATATATTATGAACTGAGCAGGATTGACGGGCTTTCGCCATAGTCAGTGGAAGGACACATCAATTAACAGAAGAAGACCATGTTGGTAGTTTCTAAAATGTGCATCCAGCTTTATACTGCAGCCTCTATGGTGCACGTTGGTCATTTCTTCGAGAATCCAATGGATCGTCTCGTATGCCGCTGGATATCTACAGTTGGCAAGTTCGGGAGTGATCGTCTTGTATAGTCATGTAGCTGACCTCAACCAGGAGAATGTCAGTGTTTGATTTGTGTTGTTCATTGGCTGCGAAACGTGTGCCCTTGGCTTATATCAGGCGTCGTTAGCAAGCCGTAGCGGACGGAATAAATATCTTAGTTCACTCTCTTCCAAGCCAATAATTTACCAACCAACCGTCGACACTCGCTGATTTGAACTTCCAGCTATGCTCAGAAATCCATGCCCTAATTGCTCACAAAACAACTTCGCAAGCTGATCTTCGGCTTCAGACCCTTAACAGATCAGTGATGTTGACTTGATGAGTTCCACTGTGTTTCGAATCTTGAATCGAAATTTCGCATATCTTAAGTGCTGTGCTGATCCTCCTATGGCTTGCTTGATTTAGCTACATGGTGTGGGAAAAGTGACAATCTGGGCTTTTTTCGCATTGTAACAAAGCGAAGCTGTTTCGAAAATTGACAAATATTCAGCACGAAGAAATTGCAATAGACATCGCAGTTTTCGGTTGATTCAGTTCTTTTTATGAACCTGTACTATTTAGGGCACACAAATATTCAGAGAACACGGGCCCTAAAGAAAAAGCTAGATCTGCTTGAAAATTTCTAGACCTCTAGTCAGACTTGGCCAGCAAGTACCGCTATACTCCGAGCTCGCCTGGTCTCCATTTCGGCTATGAGCGCATACTAAGCGGCAGATTTTACAGCAGGGTTGTTGATTTGACATCTTTAACGTGTGAAAATATATCTTCGAAGGTCATCTTGATGTGCATGCAAACTGACTGGCATGCTCCGATCCGCTACCGTGATTGTCATTGGACACATGAGACCACTTAATGAGACAAGACCTGACTGGGAAATTCACAGAGTGCACGACATAATGGCCTAGAAAACCAACAGCATCAAGCTACCGCGGCATGAATCGACCATCTTGCTTGTACTCCAGCCAGTCAGCTTTGTTGATAGATTTGTTTATATGCCGCAAGAGAATATTAGTCCTCATAAAGATTGGCAAAGAGCCTATTCGTAGCTTTCCAAAGTTTCGACATACACACCGAAATGGATCGTGATTTAACTAATTCATACCAACGTTTCAGTCTGACTGAGCTTGTAGTGATCAAAGGCAGGCAAACTTAAATATCATGATGGTTCTTTGGGATCATACGCCGCAATTCCCAGAACTCTCAACGCTTGAGATATGTAGCTTTGTCTTTGATTTCAAGCTTATCGGCATTTTTCATTTCTTACGAATCTCATATTTTCGGACTTCAGGAAGGAATTGCGAACTGCAGAAAATATCTTCTATAATGCAATTATATAACACAACACGACACAATGGAATTAAAAGGTATAGAGGAGAATTTGATCAGTGCATCACATGCAAGTGATAAACAGTTGGGCTCCCCCGCGACGTTTTTCATAATAAGTTTCAATATGAAGTTATCCGGCACAGGGCTGTCCTTCTGTTGCTTAGCTAAGGGTTGATATTTTGTTCCTTTTTGTTTTATATGGGACGGCAAGCTGAAAACGAGATGCCCAGGACAAATATGATGTTGACATCCGGATCAATTATGTTCTATATAGGTATGGCCACTCATAATGCCGCGCTGGAGCGGCCGAAGTCCGCAGCGAACAGACTGGCGCTTGTGAAATTTATAGCGAGCCTGAAACCAGGAATTGACATGAGAGACTGGGATGTTGTTGCTGCTAGAATGAACTCAATCATGCATCGCAGCAGCTCATTGGTAACACCTTATTTCTTCTACGATGGTAAGGCATGCTATTCCTACTTTAGGAGTACTTATCTACAGTAGTACTTGTACAGAAAAGATGGAAATGACATATTTCAAATTCTTGGGGATGACTTCCAGACTTCTCCTGACCATGTTACCTATCTACAGTCGTACTTATACTGAAAACATAAGCAGAAAGTGCAGGAATACGTACTCATCAAGACTGTCACCGTTATAGAATACCAAGACATCATTATTCATTAGTCGTTAAGTTTAGAAAAGCGGTTGGATATTTTTCTTTTATTCTAGCGGAATGCATTGGACTTTTATCAAAAAACCGGGCGCCATGGGCCTGGAAGACAAACAAAATGGTTTCGAGAGCTGAAACGTCGCTTTAATCATGGCCTGAGGATCTTTCAAATGACAGTCTTGATAAATACGTTTTGTAGTCGAAAATCAAGGCCAGGCATGCGTTACTCGAAAGACACAGCTCAAACTAACATCACGATGAGCTTGACTATGTTGAAAATCCCAACTTCGCAGCACCCGAACCATTCGATTACACGAAAACTTTTTTTCTCATTTTCCACGGGTCATAGTTGTATTAGTCAAATTCTGAGCAGCTAAAATTCATAGTCTGCGTTTGTTGCCTGCCAGTGGACAAGGCTAAGCAAATTTAGTGATACACTCTGTGTTACGCATATACCATGTGCCATAGACTTTCGAACGTCGCTGTGTTTCAGACCACAAAAATGTGTAGGCATGTAACAAGCCATTGAAAGACAAGGGCTGATACGCTCTCCAGACCCAAGATGTGTCACTCACTCACTCACGCGCTGTGGATCAGCGATGCAGTAGATTTTCTGGCTCACAGCTTGTAATCGCTTTGGTGCTACTTGATTTTGCGCATTCGCTTCAAACTTTTGATGTTCTCTTTTATTCGGGGATTACTAAACAAAAACATGAACGATGAAAAGCACATATGAAGCTTTGGGCCAACGTTAAGTTATTTTGTGAATTGGTAAGCAAGCTCCAGGACAACGCGATACAAATTAGTCATCTTGATACAATGAAACTGAAATACTATAATAAGCTCTAGTCTTTGTACTGTGATCGTTGGACTTTCCTGAAACTGAACTTTTCCTGACCAGAAACCATTTCAGCTATCATGACCTTTATCGAAAACTTCGAACCGGTATCCCTGAAGGATACCAATCTTTTCAAGCCAATCAAAATTGGAAACGCTCTGCTCCAACACCGTGCGGTTTTAGCTCCACTTACGAGAGTGAGAGCTGAGATCCCAGGAGATGTTCCCAGTAGAAAATGGAGCGCTGAGTACTATGCTCAGCGTGCAACGTTTCCTGGCACCCTGCTTATAGCAGAAGGAACTCTTATTTCGGCACAGGCCGGGTCAGCCGCCAGGATTCCTGGAATCTGGTCTCAGGAACAAGTGCATCAGTGGAAAGAGATTTTTGCTCGCATTCACGAACATCAATCCTTCGCATGGATTCAGCTTTACGCTCCGGGGAGACAAGCTTCTCCCGCATATTTGGCACAGCAAGGCCTCCAGTATGTTGGAGCATCGACTGGCGTGTACATGGATAATGCATCTAAGGAAGAAGCCGAAAGAGTTGATAATCAACTTCATGGCTTGACAAAGTCGGAGATTAAGCAGTATATCCTGGATTTTGTCCATGCAGCTGAGAACTCCATAAAAGCTGGCGCCGACGGAGTGGAGATTCATGCTGCCAATGGGTATCTTCTAAATCAATTTTTGGACCCAAGCTCCAATCTAAGATCTGATGAGTATGGTGGGAGTATTGAAAATAGATCAAGACTTGTTCTCGAAGTGGTGGATGCTGTTGTTGAGGCCATCGGTTGTGAAAAAGTTGGTGTCCGCTTTTCTCCTTACGGTACATACGGCACCATGTCGGGAACTTCCGATCCCATGATAGTAGCGCAGCATGCGCATGTAATTGGAGAGTTAGAGAGGAGAGCTAGGGAAGGGAAGCGGCTAGCCTTTCTCCATGTCGTGGAACCTCGCGTAATTAACCCTCATTATGATGAAGATGACAAAAAATCTTGGTACAAGGGCGGCACAAACGACTTTGTCTACTCAACCTGGGGCGGGGCGATTATCAGAGCAGGCAATTATGCGCTTGATCCTGATGCTGCAAGGAGAGATGTTAATGCCGATAACAGGACATTAATTGCTTACGGGAGACTTTTTATCTCCAATCCTGATTTGATAGAAAGGTTAGAGAAAGGTTTACCATTAAATGCTTACGACCGCAGCTCCTTCTATACCTTTACGGCCGAGGGATACTTGGATTATCCCAAATACCAAGAAGCGCTCAACAGTGCCTCTGTCGATCAGTGAGAGATATTTAGATGTTCTTATGTAGCAACAGAAAGCATGCTAAAAGCTGTGTTTAACTCTTCCATATTTTTATTGAATAAGCTAATTCGTGGACGAAAAGTGTAAATACCTCCTCGTGGTATCTTCAGTACAGGGTCAACGTCTTGTCCCTAGAGTATATCGAGACGAGTTTGAGAAGTGTTGAACGAGACCTGGGAATAAGATAGAGAGGTGCGGTTGTAGCAGCCGCTTTATTTCCTTCAACCGTTGATAAACTAGCATTAAGGTGCAGACAACTTTTCAGGCATTTTTTATCACTGACATTAGGTCTGGTGTACCAATTATTGAACGCTCCTAGTCATATCACTCTGTACTATGATGTCATAATGCAACTTGATGGTATCATTACTAACATCCTGAGCGCGATCGAAAACCGCTTAACTATGTTTATTGACAACATCACTAGCAAGCTCAAAGGCTTGAATCTGGTCGATAGAGACCGATACAATATAACTAAGTTATACTAGGGCGAGATGGGTTTAGCATAAATAATTGTGTACTCTGAATTGGATCATTGAGCGTCAACATTGCTGTTGGTACCTTTCATGATGACCAATCCCATTGGGCTGTCCAGATTTGTTTACGTGATAGAAAGGTCAAATGTTGGGCTAGATGGTGTAACCTCTAGGACGGCTGGACCAAATAGAATTGACGTATCAGTCAAATTACCAGAGTTGTCGGAGGTGACAAACGCATACGACTGCCCAGAAACTTGAGAGGGAATTTCAGCAGAAATCATACCATTGGATACGGAGCCTTCGACTGGAAGAATGTCCAATCCGCTTACAAAAGTGATGTAGCATTGTGCAGATGGAAGTTGACCATCAACGGAAAACGAAACCGAAGTATTAACGGCAACTGGCATGCCTTGGGATATGGTGAGGCCTGGGTAGGGCTTTACTGGCAAAGGTGTATTTGAGTCAGGACAGGAAGTAATGAATTGTGATGCAATCGAATATACAGCGTTGGCACCCATGGGTGTGCCAAAGGGATTGGCCATAGGTACTTCTCCGACAGCGTTACGCGTTGCAGACTGGTGAAGCGCTTCTGTGACCAGAATGGACGCAGCAGCCGTTAAGTAGGATTTGGAGGTGAGTAGAGGCGCGGCTCCGAGATACGCAGCCGCACCAACACCGTCGATCGTCGCCGCAAGTGCTACAAAATCGTGTGGGTTTGTCATAGGAAATTTGTAGGAGCAAGCGGCAACCGGAGTAGCACCGGCAGTCTTGAGGGCGGCTTCCAAGTAGAGTACATGGGTCTCCTCGTCGTGTGTGATGTATTTTAACTGCGAATAAAAGCTCTCCGTGAAGTTGGCTTTGACAAACTCGTCCACCGACCAAGTCGAAAGCCCTTGTTTGAAGAAAGCATTTTCAAGATGCTCCAAAGTCAACGCAAATTGCAGGATATCGATGTCCCCAAGAGCGGCCCTTTTTTGTAGAGCGACAGGGGCGGCTAGCGCCAAAGTGGCAAACAAAACGGAAGCTGCGTAGGCGAATCTCATTGTATAAGTTAGATCGATGTAAAGATTGGGATCAACCAAGGACCAAGAGTGACTTTCGCCTACGATCATGGCCTTATGTACCAATATTCGCGTTCCGCCTCTTTTTTAGCACAACGGCGGGTTGCTTGCGCGGAACGCAAACCCCTTCTTCGCCTTTAGCCTCTATATCCTCAGTTTAGCGCAGTAGCTGTCAAGGTAGCCTTGCTCACTTAATAACCTCCACTGGTGCGGAAACATGCCTACTTGCGTGTGTTACTTGACTCGCGCCCTGGGATTGCATAACTTATCGTTTGGTGAGCGTGTGAACGATGACGGGCGCATACGAATAAATGTATACGAATAAACGTATCACTGCGGTCATGGAGTGGTCCCAAAATCCTTGCATCAGAGGGATTTTCCGTCAAGTAGTAGTTCTTTCGTTGCTTTGTTCCTGGACCAACTACGATAAAGGTTCCCAAGCGCAACAAACGCAGGCTATGCTCCTCATTTCTTAAGTCGCTGACCTGAGATGACGATTGTTATGTGTGACTCCTTTGGGGTGGTTGCAGTTGTCTTCAACGCACGGTTTAAGTTCGCTGCACCTAGCAAGAAGGTGCCAAGAACATAAAGTATCCATTTTACGCATGTTGGCAAGACGTCACCACTGTGATTAGTGCATGAGTACTGTAGATAGTGTTTAGGGGACTGATTTTTGTTGTGAGAGCAAAGTTGCGGGCACTACTACGACAACTTGCCGAGAGGTTCACTTTTTGTTTCGCTTTCCTTTTCTTGTCAGACGTCTGGAAATTGGTTTTGACAGCTAAGCGGACAATGACAGCTACTCAGGTCAACAAAAAGGTGTCAAAGGTAGCTAATGGCAACGGATCTTAAAAGAGGTGAGTGACGAGTCTAAGAAAGCGAACTACATCGGTCAAATCTTAGCAGTACGCTCTCGCGAAGTGTCAGAGTTCATGCCGTGTCAGTATGTGACAATGTGACAAGCAAGAAGCTACGAATGCAGATACGATATAGATTATCTTCGCCACGAGTTGTTACTGCAGTAATTATACTCTTTTCAGCTGGAACAAAGGATGACTGTTTATATTGTTTGGTAACAGGGCGCTTCCGGATGTCCAAGAATGTGTCAAGACCGATGATCTTTCAGTATATCGAAATTATATTCTCATACAGAAAATCACCAAGATGTTCATTCAAGTAATGCTTATTTACTATTGGAGCTACTGAACTATGTTGGTTAACAACGTTACTAGCAATCTCAAAGACTTGAGCCTGGTAGATAGAGACCAACATCATTAAGAATGATCTACCCTTTGTCAAAGCATTTTTTTTGCAAAAGCGCGGTGTCTATATGAATTTAATGGTGTTGGTGAACTGCTCGCATCATATTAACCTTACCGGTAAGTATTTGTACACGATATGCAGGTAAGGTGGACTCTTTCACAAAACTGAGCGAGGATATTAACGCAGTTGCTTCTTTTTCATAAGGCGGATTATGTGACCCACTGGAGATACTGCAGACGGCCTCAGGCAAGAATTTGAGCTTTGTCAACACATAGCGCCCTTACGAGAAGGGCGTTAGATAACATCTCAAGCATTATTGTCGGTTAACTGCCCGCGCAGGTCAGGAAGTAGTATATGTGAGGAACAATACATCAGTTTTATTACATAATATCTATTCTGGAAGGCCTGGAAACCGATTGTGATCGAACTTACTATATATGCCAGGTTTGCGATGGTAATATATATTCAAATTGGTCGAAATGGGAAAACATGAACGATTCGCCTCGTGCTTCTGGACCTTTCTGTTTTGCAGCACATGCATATAGCTCCTATATCTAGTTGCCTTTAGAACATGACACTGATGACACTGTTCACGAGCAGTGAAGTACGTTAACCCGAATCGCTTGATTCCCCTTACAAATGATTTCTGAAGAGTTATGTAAGCTGAGCTTGAGGATTTAATGGATGGCGAAGTATTAAGACGCTTGTCTTACAGTTGACTCGTGGACGAGGAGGAACTGCTGATTCCACCTAATAATGGAGTTTTATTCTAACCTGAGCTCGGGATTTCCGCATCCTTTCACTCTTCACAGCGTAATCTGCCAACGAACGCAGCACAAGTTCGATGCTGAAATGTCACGGAAATGAGTACTTTCAAATATTGACTTTACGCGCTGCTAAGAGAGTAATTGCGACAAGAGTTTATCAGGGGCTTTCGCGACGCTTCGAGATCAAGTTGTGAAAAATTCATGAAATCTCTTAAGTGATTAAAGCTCATCTGACCAGCTTTACAAAATGTCCACAACTCATTGACAATCTGCTGTAACCGCAGTTGGGTCTGCTTACTTGTGCGCAGAGAAACGAACTACGTTGAAGTATGCACTAAACATATCTCAGGTCTTTCGGAGTATTTGACTCTTGAATTGCCGCCCTATAGATAAGAAAATAAGAATAGCTATATAGCTTGAATCAAAACGGTTTTTTTCTTGAGGGCTCGTTGAAAAACGAATAATCAATTTTTCATCGGTGAATGTCCAATCCAAAGGTCTTCAGAGAACTTTGCCGCGCGGAAGTACATACTAAGCCTACGTCTGGTGTGCTCCCAGGTTACGTCCAAGCTAATTTATTGATTTTACCCAAATCTGCAGCTGACAGCTTTCAAGACCTATGTGCAAGAAATCCCGTTGCTTGTCCTCTTTTAACCAAAACCCTGGGAAGTCCTCACATACTAGAAGAGCATGCTAAATTCATTAGCGGCGACTCCTTTGACATCCGCACAGATTTTCCAAAGTATAATATTTACCAGAGAGGTAAACTAGTAGAGCAGAAAAACAATTGTCGCAAGGAATGGTCAAAAAACCACATAGGATTTCTGATAGGGTGCTCTTTTTCTTTTGAAGATGCTTTGAAACAGGCTGGTTTGACCCCCAAAAACGTACTTCGTGGCACAAATGTCTCCATGTTTGTAACCACGAAATACCTTGACTCTGCGGGCATATTCCATCAGTGCCCATATGTTGTCAGTATGAGACCATATAAACCAGAGGACATAAATCGCGTGAGAGAAATAACGAGACCTTTTAAGAAAACTCATGGCGAACCCATCGACTGGGGGTTTGACGGTGCTGAACGCTTGGGAATTTCTGATTTACAGAAGCCAGACTACGGCGATTCTCTACGTATAGCTGAGGACGAGGTGCCGGTGTTCTGGGCATGTGGAGTAACTCCACAATTAGCTATTGCTACCGTCGGTCATATGATAGATGGTTTGGTTATAGGGCACACGCCTGGTCATATGCTTGTCTTGGATGCCACTAACGTCTGTTAGGTGTCAGAAGCGGGGTTGTCATAGAGCGCAAGTTGAGCTGGATTCAAAGAAAACTTGAGTACTTTACTGTTATGTAGCCAACTTTTTTCACCTTTGATCTATATTTCGCCTCACACCAGGCTGCGTTAGATCCTCTTTACTATCATAGCGAGCCAAATTCACAAAAGAAAAAACATGATAAAGAAACCGCCCAGCGCAAGACCTTTGATAATTTTCAAGGTATGTTTGAAGGTCTTGGTCCATATATTTACTGTTTGCATGCTGTAAGCCTATCACAGGCGTTTTGTAGAGTTTTGCTGTCACAATTATCGCCGTGACAGGGAATGTAAACCTTGCTAACGCTGCGCGATAATCCGCGAATCCCTGAAGACAAGCCCAGGCCGTCTCTTTCTTAAGTAACCCTCGTCTTTTGTATTTATTTGTGCCGCTTAGCTACCAAGAAGCCTACAAGCTACAAAATATGTGGACATTACATTTGCTGAATAACGAAGTATTTCAAAAGCCTCCAAAGACGCTGCTCTGGTGCATTTTCCTCACTAGCATCTGCTTTCTTTGTATCTTTGAAACTGATCCGTTCTCTTTAGTCTTGCACAGTTGTAAGCAACTTTCAGGCGTGCCTATATCCAAACTCCACTAATAGAATCGGTAAAAAAGCGTGGATCGCCAAATGACTTATTCTCACCCTCAAGAGCATGCTGTATACCTATGATTCCTCTTCTCAACTTGAAAAGCCTCTTTTGGGCTAGTATTGCTCAATTCACTACTTCGAATCTTTGACTGTTACTACATTTCGATCACTAGTCAACCAGATAGTCGTAATGACCTCAAAGTTAATTCTATCGTTGGAATCTCAGCGGAGAGTTGTGAAGTCACCTACTTAATGTGGTGGCTTATATCATATCGTCAAAGAGTTAACTTAGGTCCATCTCTTAGCTTCTAATTTATGACTGAGGTATCTGTTTCGTTTTTGTAGAGCGCGTTGCGTTTATTATAGCTGCAGTAGCTTCTGCAAATATGTTTTTTGGCAAATGATGGATCTTACAATTAAACAGTGCCAAATTCGCCGAAGATAAGCTGATTGAAACCTACGAGTTATAATAAAAGAGCATGTCGAGTTTAATTTGAGTTTCGCTATTCGATTCTTTGCTTGAACATCTACTTTCACATTAAACCGCCTATTTGTTTGATTGAAAGCATAGCTCATTTAAATGATAATCATTACTGACACGGAACTCATTTTACTTTTCACTAACTATTCTTTGATCTGGGTACAGAATCTAAACAGCAGAAGGACTGACAATATATCGCGACCAGCGCGAGACGTATCGTTACAATCCTAATCATCAGTTCAACAAGTCATTTCATGTTTGTAAAAGCGTTGTGGTGCAACTAGTGCAATCTATCAATGTAGCGCCACAAATTGGTGAGCGAATCTTTGACGTCCAATTCTCGTTAATTTGCGAAGCAGAAGATGGATAGGCAAGTTAAAATCAAATCTCTCTCTCCAAGTCTTCGCAAGAATTTTCCTGAAATGCATCATTCAAGAAAATATCTAATGCGGATCCAGATCTGACTTCATCGCCCATGTTGTTAAGTATGTGTGAGAGATCAACGAATCCAAGCTCTTCAAAATCAAAAATAGGTTCGTTGCTTCTCGGTGCTTTATCCAGAGATGCAGGCTGTGGACTCGTTAGCTTACGCTGGAAGAGCAAAGACGTATTTTGTTTTTGTGATTTGTCTTTCTTCAAAATGCCCACCACCTCTTCCGAGCTCATCAAGTCGATGAATTCTGTTAGTTGATGATTAAAGTTCCTCGCAGCAGCGTTGTATTCCGACAGTCCCTGTAATATTTTGAGGTTGTGCTCTATGGCTTCAAACAAACTTTCGACGTCTCCTAAGTACAGAACATGCTTCTTGGAGAGCATTTGGCAAAACCCCGCTAAAATAAGAATAATTGTCGCGCTGAAGATATAGTGACAATCTAAAAATGAGCAGTTGGCCATTTTGCCATCATAGTATAACTTAGTGAGGATACGACTCTGTATTTCCGCCGCTTGAATACAAGATTCGAGTAGCACCAGAATTAGTTCGAACTGACGTTTTTCGAAAAGCTTAGCCTCTTTATCACTTGCCTTCAAAATAGTCCTGAAAACAAATAACAAAACAGGTCTAGTTGATATCATGATAGAATAATTGTAATTGATGTGGAGATTGAATGTTGCTCTGATCATTCCGGTCTCAATATCATCATAGTCAAACTTGAGTTCATTTGGTAACGAATCAAACCAATATTTCAATTCTTTCAACACGGCATGGCAATTGTGAAGAAAAGAAAAAGGGTTCTGTGTGTATATCTTCGTTATAATTTGAGTTGTTATTTTAGCAAGTCTCACCTGAGAAACAAAGTGATATACGTCTAACGAGATGGTCGTCAACGAATCATCTCCTTCATTGAATAGAGGAACATTGATGTCGTTTTCGTCAATCATCAATGGAAATCCGAATCTCACGGATAGCAATCTATCATAAATGAAGCATAGCCAAAAAATACGATTTTCACTTCTTGACTGAGCGTTTTTATGAAATCCAAGTGTAAACATTGTTCGAATGGCACTCCCTACCGTAATAAACGCAAAAGTTGTTTTGTCCTGTGACAAGGCAAAGTATGCCATGTATAGTAAAGATTGGACTAGTGACCCGCTTGCTGCTTGGTCAAGAATATTCACAATGTGCCCATATAGAGATATTGTTGTCTCATGATACTTTAGACCAAGAGACTTCGATTTAGGGTTTGCCTTGTCGAACAACGATCCCAGCGCTAAGTGGCTTAAGAGTCTGAGAAGTTCATTCGTGTACTTTATAAGGCCTTTGCTGTCGTGCGGAACAGGAGTTTTGTATATCATGGTGAGTACGATATTCTCGACATAATTGGACTCAATGAACATATAATCTGCGCCAATTATTCGAGATGCAATGTCAATAAGGCCTTCCGCGTCAGGTACATCTGGAAGAATTTCCTTTCGGATTGACTTGATATAATGGCGGTCAATGGGGATGTCACCTGGCGTCAACGCTGTTGCTGTAGCTGTGCTTGAATGCTCTGCCAATGGATACCCGCTAGGACTCGATAAGGACTCCTTCAATTTGATCAAAAACTGTGCGCACGCAGACATACCAAGATAGTGAATGGCTGATCTGCCGTCTTTACTCTTTGCGGAAGAAGCCTCATCCTTATAATGCAGTTCAAACCCATATTCAGGCTCGATGAGTGGATTCACATCGGACGCCCCAACCTTTTCCTGCGAGCTAATACGATCATCAACTGAGGATTTCGCTCGTTCGGTTTCCAACTCTCGGATCCTACTTTTCAGAGTCGAGATATACCTCTCAGTTACCTTGGCTTTCTTAGATTTCACTCTCGATTGGTATTCACAGTCTTGTGGCTGGTTGATTTTGACGCAGTATTCGCAGGGAAGAGCGCCGGAGCACTTTTTCTTTCGTTGCTTACATTTCATGCAAGCTTTTGCCATCTTTTTACCTGGCATTCCATTCAATTTATATGTATAAAAACATGAGCTTGAGTATTGTATGATCACTTATCCATTGATACACTGAATTCTCATGAGTCATATGGAGCTGGATAACCTTAGCTGTATACGAGTTGAAGGCATGATGATCTGAGCATGAATCAAAAAGTACATTTAGTATAAGTCATGTGAGCCAAACTAGTGATTAGTTTTGTTGATAATGAACAGATCAATGGCGGCCTTTTCAGTTGCTTAATTCCCGACATATGCCAAAGATGTTGATAATGAAGTTCCTGTATATAAGACATTGCAGAAGGAGGGGAATGGTTGACTGGTAAGCGTAAAGGCTCACAAAAATAATCACAATGGGTGAACAGTATCCAATGGACTCTAAAAACTCGGTTAAAGTAGTTGTTCGCGGTGATGATCACGAATTTTCAGAAGAGCTGGGTGAACAAATCGTTGTTGAAGAAACCTACATAGATCCTCTAGAAGAAAATGCATTGACCAGAAAATTGGACAGACATTTACTGCCCATGCTGGCATTTATGTATTTTTTGTCATCTTTGGACCGCTCCAACATTGGAAATGCTTATACTTCCGGAATGAAAGAAGACCTAAACCTTTCGTCGCGTCAGTACTCAAACGCAGTATCGGTATTTTACTCCACGTACCTGGCAGCTGAATTGCCGGCCGTTTGGCTACTGAGAATTGCAAAACCTCGCTATTACATGTCTTGCTTGGTTTTGTCTTGGTCGCTTATCACTTTGTTTAGTGGATTTGTACAGAGTTATCACTCTCTGCTTGCAACGAGAGTCCTGCTAGGAGCCTTTGAAGGCGGATTTTTTCCTGCGATGACACTTCTTATCACCATGACATACAAGCCACAAGAGCAGGCGAAGAGAATAGCATTTTTCTTCGGCTCTTCCGCATTGTCTGGAGCATTCGGTGGACTCATTGCGACAGGTTTGGCTTCTGTTAAGAATGCAGGTGGTCTCGAGGGTTGGAGATGGCTGTATATCATCGAGGGTCTAATATCAGTATGTGCGTCTGCGTGGCTCTTCTTTGGCCTTCCTGATGACCTAGAACACATGAAATTTCTTAACGAGAAGGAGACTGCACTGATGAAGATTAGAGCGAAACAGCGTATTCAGTATATGGGAGCAGATTCGACTTTTAGTTGGAGCCATGTTTTACTGGCCTTCAAAGATTTCAAAACTTATTTTGCTTTCACGATCCAATTTTGCCAAGATATTATCCTTTATGGGTTTAGCACTTTCTTGACAGCTATTCTCAAGCTTGGTTTGGGTTACAGTTCGAGGAAAGCTCAATACATGAGTGTTCCGGTGTACATTTTGGCCGCGATCGTGTTCATGATATCGGCTTATGTGAGTGACCGTTATAAGATCAGAGGTCCAGTATTTTTCGGTTATAATATATTAGGTGCAGCCGGTTATGTCATACTTTTATCGGTGAAGAATGACGCTGTAAAATACTTTGCCTGTTATTTGATCACATTTTCACTCTACACAGGAACCGGACTCAATATTACTTGGCTCACAAATAACGTTGCTCCTCATTACAAAAGAGCAACAGCTTTGGGGCTGAATCAAACCTTGGGCAATCTTGCGGGTGCCATCGTTGGGCAAGTTTACAACAAATCGCCTTATGTCCTCGGAAACTCCTTTTCGTTGGGTTGTATTGTACTATCAAATATTCTAACAGCTATTCAGATAGCGTGGCTAGTAAGAATCAATAAGCAAAAAGAGGAGATTTTGGCTGGCACCAGAAAAGATACCAAAAAGGAGAGAATTGGAGACGATGCTTTGGATTTCAAATACTGTCTATAAGCAAGGTTATACAACGCTCTAGGGAAAACGCACGTTGCAATGCGATATTGTCTAGGAAGTTATCTAATCATTATCTATTTGAACCGAGCGTACTGCTTCGCTGCCCTAAATGACGTTTTGCCTTACCGTTTAAGCTCTCCTATGGTGCGTTTGAACGTAAGCTTGAGAGGCTTGTTTGTAGTTGCGCAGATGCAGAAACAACATTCAGTTGGCAGATAATGAACAGTGTACAAATAGTGAAAAATGCTTTTGAAGATTCCTAGACCCAAGACACTTGAGATAAAAACTTGAACTGACGTCTATTATTTATATAGGTTAATCAGTGGCAAGTACTGATCACGACTTCAATTGCTTACAGCAGCTTGCACCTGCCGATCCCCAGCCTCCACCGCCAGGTGTCATGATCACAACACGATCGCCTGCTTGAGCTTTGATCGTGTTTTTGGCCCCAATATTAATTACGGATCCTGAGGGTTCACGTATCCATAAATTGATGCCTCGGGCACCATCGTGGCCACCATCAATCCCATGCGGTCCAATAACACGGCGCTCTGACAAAATAGAGGCCTGGACGGGTTTTCGAAACATAATGTCTCTCACGACACCATTACCTCCAACATATTTTCCGTTACCGCCGGAATTTTGCCTAATAGAAAACTCGCGTAAAATAACAGGATACCTTCTCTCGAAAATTTCGACATCTGTCATTCTCGTGTTTGTCATGTTGGTGTGAACAGCATGGGCGCCATTCCAGCCTGGTCCTCGCCAAGAGTCTCCACCGGCCCCGTGACCGCCACAAATTGTCTCATAATATCCAAAACCATTAGAGACGTTGCCGTTTGCGTCTTTCCCTCCCGTTCCAAACGTGAAATTATTGCAATCGCCTTGAGAGTCTGCCATAACTCGAAAAGTCTTCAAAACAACGTCTGTAACTCTTTGTGATGTGAGAACGTTCCCCCCAACGACTGCAACACCTTTCGTAGGGCTCAAAATAGAACCCTTTGGTATTTTGACGGTTATCGGCTTAAGACAACCTTGGTTTAGAGGAATGTCTTCGTTCACCAAGCAGCGTAAACAATAAAGAATCGCAGAATTTGTTATAGCCTCAGGGGCGTTTAAGTTACCATAAACTTGAGGCGAAGTGCCGTCAAAATCGAAAATATACTCCTCCTTTTCGATATTCAATGTGACCTTTAGCTTTATTAAAGTACCATCATCCATATAGTCTTCGTTTGAAAATTCTGTAGCCCCGAAATGTTCTGTCAACTGTTTGAGGGCATGTTTTACTGTTGTGGAGGCATTTTCTTGAATGGCCAACATGTACTTTACAATCACATCAATTCCGAAATCTTTCATTAGCTTCGCAATAAGTTGAATTCCTTTTGTGTTTGCAGCAATTTGAGCTTTAAGATCACTTATGTTGTCGCTAATTTTTCTAGAACCTGAACAGCCCGGATGTTTCGCAGGTTCTTCAACAAGAAGCTTTACTATCAACTCTTCGTCGAACTTTCCTCCCTTTACAAGTTTCTCAGAATAGATAGCTGCACCCTCTTCAAAAAGATGTTTCGAATTTGGAGGAACTGATCCTGGTAAAATCCCCCCAATGTCTGCGTGATGAGCTCTTGAAGCAACATAGAAAATTACATCTTTACCATTATCGGCAAATGCGGGTGTTATCACAGTAATATCGGGAAGGTGCGTCCCGCCGACTTCAGGATGATTAGTTACTAGAACATCACCGCATTTCAGTTTGCCCTCCCATATTTTTGCTTGTGCAGAGATACAAGTAGACATTGAACCCAAATGTACAGGCACGTGTGGAGCGTTTGCAACCAGATTGCCATCCGGATCAAAGAGTGCACATGAGAAATCGAGTCTCTCTTTGACATTAGTAGACACTGAAGTTTTCTTTAATTGATTTCCCATCTGTTCCGCTATGTCCATGAACCTGTGGCCGAAGATAGAGAGTAAAACGGGATCAACGCTATCTTTTGTCATCTTTTTATCCTCTTTGGTCTTTGACGTAATATTTACTACGATGTGCGAATTCATGACAGTTGCAAATGCATTACATGGAATGATGTTAGTTTGGGTTCCATCTGCCAAAATGCACGGTCCCTTTATCAAACTACCAGCTGGCATGTTATCAATACGAAAAACTGGCGTCTTCTTCCGTTCGTCATCAAAAAAGACATCTTTGTAAAAAGCGACCTCTTTTTCAACATCGATTTCGGCTAATGGACAGCTAGCCATCTCTTTGGCAATGGACTGTGTTGAGCGCACGGGTGACTTTGCTATGGCTCTCACCCTAACGTCATCGATTACAATAGACCTATCACTGAACACAAATCCAAATTCTCTTCTGTGTGACATAGTAAAATCTTCGTTAAAACTCCAGTTAGAGCTGGTTTGTAAAATCATCAAACTGGTTTCAGTGCCTTCATATCTCAGATTGAGATACTTTTCGAAGACTAAATCACCTGTTGCAAATCCTTGCTTTAGCAAGTTTATAGTGACCGCTTTAATCATAGCTTTAAATCTATTCTCAACTTGCTGTTGAGCATGGCAATGTTGCAAAACGAGGGAGCAGGGCTCTTGTTTCTCTTCGACTACGTCGGCAAGGAACATACCGTAAGCCGATAAGATTGAAGAATAACGATGTGCAATAACTGTATCAATTCCCAATGATTCTGCTACTGCAACAGCGTGTTGACCGCCAGCCCCACCAAAAGTGACAAGCTGGTGATTAGAAATGATATGTCCTTTCGCTTCCGTAAGAGATCTGATAGGCCGAGCCATAGATTCGTTAGCAACCTTAATAAAACCATACGCGACATCGTCCACTGAATATGTAGCGCCTAGATCACTATTGATTGTTTCGGCCAGAGCTTTGAATTTTTGTTTTGTGATTTCTAAATCCAACGACTCATCTTCATTTGGACCAAAGATTTTTGGAAAGAATTCAGGAACCAATCGACCCAGGAGTAAGTTGGCATCTGTCACTGTCAAGGGTCCACCTTTGCGATAAGCTGCTGGTCCTGGTTCTGCTGTTGCGGATTCTGGGCCCACCCTAAACAAACCATTCTCCCAAAATAGCATTGAACTCCCACCAGCAGCAACAGTATTGATATCTAACTGTGGACTCTGGATAATTATTCCGGCAGTTGTTGTTTCGTATACGTGATCTAGTTTCCCATCTCCAAATCGACTAACGTCAGTAGATGTTCCGCCCATATCAAAACCAACGAGTGGAACGTTAGTTTCAGGGTCGTAACATGTTGCAGAATATCCAATCACGCCGCCAGCAGGACCCGAGAGAATTGATTTTAATCCTGAAAACTTACTGCCTTCGGCCAAGCCGCCGTCAGACTGCATGAATTGTATGCTTGTGTTGTGCGTATTCTTGAGCCCAGCCTTCAAAGCATTCAAGTATTTTCTTATTACAGGCGTCAGATAAGCATCCGCCACCGCACTGTTTGCTCTCGGTAGATATTTGATCATCGGAGAGACTTGCGATGATAATGAGACGTGGGTGAAGCCAATTTCAGAAGCCACAGCCGCTACCATTTCTTCATGCTGAGGAAATGTGTACGAATGAAGCAGGGCAATGCCAATGGAGCGAATGCCTTTTGCGTAGGCCGCTTCCAAGGCGATTCTCAAGGCAGATACATCGGGTTTTTTCAAAACTCTTACAATCTCGCCGCTTTTGCCAACAACTGTTCCTTCGTCAGAGTTGGGATCGGATCTTACATTATCGGGGTCTTCAGAGAAATCCTCGAGAGTTACTCTTTCATCAACCTCGATCACAAGGTCGTATAACGGACCCGGACGGTTGATGGCCAAGTCAAATATTTTGGGTCTAGTCTGGTCACCGATCAAAAGACAGTCCTTGAAACCCTTAGTTGTAACAAAAGCGCATGGTTCTCCATTTCTTTCAAGGGCACAGTTCGTGGCGAGCGTGGTTCCCATTCTGAGACTTTCAACCTCAGACAAGTCAAGAGGGAATCCTCTTGGAATTTCTTTCCCTTGGAAAATCTCCAATATTCTTCTGATACCCTCTAAAGGAGCATCCGGATAGTTTTTAGTATCCACAGATAGAATTTTTATCACAACATCATCTTCTGGTTTTCCAGACCCTGGGTTACCAATACAATCTGTAAAAGTTCCACCTCTGTCAATAGCTATTCTAATTTTCGACATTACAATTGAAAAGGGGATAGACAAGTCCTTGAAGCATTTGGGAGCAGCTAAAGGAGTCGAACAATTGATGTATTACATGGATCTTTTATACCTTATCATTCGTAGTGATTATTAAACAACTTTTTGTCGGAGAAATTAAAGCTTCAAGCGCCGAAAGGCAAAATAAGCCAAGCCGTTCCTGACCCAATAAAGCCTATCCAGAGAAAAAGACCAGAGGCGGAACACTTGGCCACTAAAAATCCGATCCGCGTAACTGATTGAACTCATGAATGGTTCAAGTTTGAAGTTCAGTTGAATTGAAACACACAATTTGTGTGCCTTTTGTTTAGCGTTGAAACTCAAGTTGTCGACTCTTTGTCCTGGGCCCGTCGTTTTTTAGCAGCTTTCTCACGGCCTGACCTTGTCACAATTTGTCTCTTCATATTGCTTGAGTCAAATGAGAGTTTGATACATGGTCTTCTGGTCAACAGCTAAGATGATGTGTCGTGCAAGCGCCCCACGTACTGTTACATTAATTTAGAGAGTGTGTGGTGTTGGATAAGGTTCGATAGTGTCTAGAATGAAAGATCACATACAGCTCTCCTTTAAAAATGCATGAGTCGATTGTCAAGTTACATGAAATGTTGATGAAATAAGATTTTAGAAACAATGGAAAGTTCCCATAAGGCTGCGGTTCTTAAGAGAGCATTTCGAGCTTTTTTCAAACAGCCCCTTCAGCGAGTTTACTTCTTCGAATTTTAGTAACCTCTCAAAAGTCAAATGTCTTTTTTCCAGAGCTAAAGGTATATTTGGTATCGTGTATAATAAAGTACTTTGGATTTTTAAAGAGTGCGATCAACATTTTATAGACCTAGTTTAGCTCACATCGTGAGCTTCTTTCTGAATTTCTGTAGTTTAGTCAACCGAATCAGTTTCGTCTTGACGGTTTCGAGTTTTCTTCAATCTGTAAAGGGCAACACCATGCGCTGGTACATAGACAGAAAGAGGGGTCCCGATAGATACATTAGCGACTGGCTGGCCAAATAAATGGGAGTCGTTACTGGCTATGCCACTGGCGTAAGGCAATCCTGTTGCATTGTAGTACTTGCTGTAGTCCAGACTTCCCGCTTGAACAATACTCGATGCAGTACGATTTTCCAACCTGTTAGCCCACACGTCGTAGGCAATCCATGGGGATGATGGGACATTATCACTATCGACAAAAATGTCTTCTTCTTTGGCTGTCATAGTCATGAAAATGGAAGCTTGTTAAGCAAAGCCACTACCTGGTGACCATTGTCGAGTGGCCCGCCCCATAGCTGGACCTCTCCTCTTCCATTAGCGTCAAGTTGAGATTTTTGTTTTCTGCAAATTCTAGTCGCAGGAACTCCAGCGAGATTTTGATTAATTGCAATCACAGCTGGGTTGGCGTAGACTGAGTACGATGTAGAATCCAACCTGTTGACGGCGACTCAACAATTGGCCAGATAGAAAAATGCGCGACTTCCTCATCGTCTGTCAGGCTTCCAACACCAACCTCCAAGCAATCCAAGTCGCTCCATCCGCCAGGACCTGCGTTTTGACCCGTGAGAGTAGCTTTGCCAAGTATATTCATAAAAGAGCAGTGAAAGCCCGGTAGTTTGCAATCGTAGTCGTCTTCATCACAAGGACATCTTCTGTCTGGCCGGTCAAAAGAAGGAGTAATGTCACCGCTAATTCTCTAAGAATTACTGATCGCTGATCCCCAATAGGAAGTGAGATCTTGACCCCAATTGCACAGTGAGTAAAAGATTGGTCTCCCGGTTTTGTTCAAAGCATCTGACATTGGCTTGTAGCGCTTGAATGAAGTCTCCGGAGTACCGAACTGGCCACGGTTGAAGCGATTATCGTTTCAAGTAATCAACTTCCCAGTAGGCGAAACTAGCAGCGTCTGCGTCTTCATGGTCCAAAGAGCCAGGATAGCCAGCACAGGTGTACTCTCCGGCTGAAGAGTACATACCAGCGAGTAAATCTCTGCGGCGAAGTTCACTCGCAACGTGCCCCATGCCATTGGGAAACTTTTCAGAGTCTGCTACCAAACTGCCATTGGCTGCCCTGCCGCAAAGCAATCGTCTAGAATCACATACTTGTACCCAATATTACGAACTCCTAACTGTAAAAGTTTGTCAGAGGTTCCCCAGAGAGGTTGTTCATTGACTTTGCATGCAAAAGCGTTCCAATTGTCCCAATCCATTTGTGGGACAATTCCCAAACCATTGTAAGAGTGGGTACCAGCTTCTGTTGCCAGTTCAGTGAAATGTCAAAATACATGCTAGGCTTAAATCAAGAAATTGAGTCATATCGGTGATGGAGATGGCTCGAATGCTGATGCTCAATTCTAATTATTCCAGAAGCATGAATTTCGAAACCTTAAATAGATTTCAGAAGCTTACTTGGGCCAATTGTATTGGGGATCCCTCGGGAAGAACCCTAAAAGAGTAAGCTCGTTTCTCTAGGTCCCTCGGGCTGTGGATAATCTTGAACAGTTTCCGTCATCACATAGTTATAGACATAGGGCTTGATCCTTGCATAGTTTAAACAATCCATGCGTTATTGCCTGGCGTGGGGCTCCCTAAATAATGCCAGAGGTCCAATAAGTACAACATTTGTACGTGAGTGTCAATTTCGAGTACACCCTTGTATACTTAGAAGTGCTCTTATCTTAAATCTGTCAACAAGCGGTGAAAAGTTACCTAACAGGGTGGTCAACGAAGCGTAGTGAGAACATGTACGAGGGTTTTGCATGATTACACAACTAGGGAAGGGAAACAATGGGTTTTTCATCCGTTGCGAAATGCTACTTGGCAAGCTTTACGCAGTTTGTAAACATTGCTTAGAGAGTTTTAACCTTAAGTGCCTCTTGCAAGAACTGGGGGGCTTTTGTTCGCCTTGTACTTGTGGTGAAATTTTTGAACTTTTGTAGAAACAATGTCATATTGACTTTTTTGGATAGCGGTTCAGCTATAAAAATTGGACTGTTAAGGCATGTCTGCTTCACTACCGATGAACTTTTCGAACTGGTCACTCAGCCAATCATCATGTATCAAACTAATCCTCATCAGATTATGGGATTCTATTTAGCTTTCCGTAGTTCTGTCACTTATGAGGTCGATCGTTCTGATGGAACTTCATGTAGGTGTTGTTTGTATGACATTTACTGAGCGTATAAAAATATCTTACGCAGTATTGCATAACCGTACGAACACCGTAAGATACATCAGGCAAGGCCCTATGAGTGGTGAGTCAAGTACAAAAACAATTTAGAGTATGACTTGATACTTCTCCTTACTTTGAGATGAAGCATCGAATATTCCATCGACCGACTATGTTCTGCTGACATCTCTCTTCGTATTCTTTTGTTGTAGTTTTTGTTTTAATGTCATGTTTCCATACACTCTAACTCATTATGCGATTGACGTTATCTAGTAATAGCGCAAGGATCCTGGCATTAGTGAGGGTCTAGGATTCCCTAACATCATCTAGTGCTGTCGTTCTATTTATATCACTTTATAATGTTCTGTCGTTATCCGACTGTGGCACTATCATCACTTACATATCAAAGCATATCTAATAATAATCAAAGAAGAAGTACAATATGTCTATTGACGCAAAGTTCAGCAGTCTGACCTATCTTCAATTAGGAGACGGAGAACTAAAGAAACAATACCTTAAGACCTTTAATCACAACCATGCCTTAGGTTAGCACTCCAGACCAGATCACTTTGTAGTTGATAAGTGATGTTCAGCAATCAAATATGTGTATTTGCTCAATATTTAACGTAATCATTAATATCTCTTGTTTATTGAGCCTTGCTTGATATATTTCATAAACCTTGAGGAAATTTTTTTGTTTCCTAATGTCACAAAGCGCGTTCAAAACAAAACAAAAATCAATGAATATCCGAGATTAGAGAATACTTTACGTGTTTCCACCTTCTTTGAGGTGAAGCAAGTTTTATTAATTGCTTAGCAATTATATGGTATCAGGTCCTTCGAAGTTTATTTCATCAAGTCCGATCAAGAATCTAACCTAGAAATACCATGTGTAACGTATGAGATTGCGAAAAAAAAATACAAACTCAGAGAAGCGCTATCAAGTAGTCAAAACGAACCTTATGGGATGATCTGAGACGTATGTCATCTTTTCAACATCTTAAAAGCGCCGAATTTTGAACATGACATATTGGTACAAAGTGACAAAAACTTGATTGCTGGCTGAACATGCCAACACCGGCAACATGGTCACAGTAGCCAGTTAAGGCACTGATCGAATAGCACAGATAAGCAACAGAGTCACAATTCACCACGCACTCCTCTGACTGTGCACAGAATGGTACCTGTGCAATCGGTCACCCAGATTATAACAATTCATGTTGTCAGAACTCGGCAAGCAGAATGATTGTATGAAAACCGTGTGTTTAGCCCCTGTGTTGAGTTTCTGCTCTTCACATCTGGAATTGAAGGCTGTAATCATGGAATTCACTACATAGCTAATGTAAGATACTATTTTAATACGTCTTTTTCAAGGCTGTTCAAGATAACCTCAAGTAACTCACATTAGTGAGAGAAGACTAGAAAGTGAATAAGCCTAGTCGACAGAAAGCAGTCTCAACATTTATATTGAAGAATCTTACCCAACCCATCATAAATGAACGGGATCAAGAACGCTTATGATCAGGAACCATTAAATATATCCCCAAATGAAAATATTACTAGTCCCCCATGATTTGAGCCATGTCGACAGAGACCATGCTGGACAGTAACCATAGTCAATAAAGTATTTCATTTGGGTTTGCTTCTGCTACTGAAAGATGTAAACACTCATGAATATTTCAAATTGCGCGCGACTTCGTGTCCCTGCTAATTGTGATTTTAAGCTTGGAACAATAAATTGTTGAAATCAGGGCTGATGCTTCTATAGCGCGTGTTGGATGTCATTGCTTATCACTACTTAGATGGTGGGAACGGCCCGAGCTCCATGAACACCACTCATTTCAAAGTAAAAGGCTTTATTAAACTAGCTTACCTGAATCATAAATCTATACGAGCAGAAATGTGGGGCGTTGAGACCTATTTCAGCAGCTCATATGTATCAACCAGTATGGCTTCTAAAGCAGCGCTAAAGGAAGTGCTAGAAGTATTCCTAAGCCCAGTCTATTAGCATTACCGATAGAGTGTAGAGCAGAAGTTGAGCCAGACGCTGGTGACAAAGATGTCTTTGGTGCCTCGGACGTAGTCTTCGAGCCGGAACCAGAAAAAACAGAGCCGATACTTGAAGCTGAACCTGGAGCACTTGATGTGCCTGAACCAGAACCAGAGCCTGGAGCACCTGGAGAGCCAGAACTAGAGCCTGAACCTGAGCCTGGAGCACCTGGAGTGCCAGAACTAGAGCCAGAACCAGAGCCTGGAGCACCTGGAGAGCCAGAACTAGAGCCAGAACCAGAGCCTGGAGCAGTTGGAGAGCCAGAACTAGAGCCAGAACCAGAGCCTGGAGCACCTGGAGTGCCAGAACTAGAGCCAGAACCAGAACCCGAGCCAGAACCAGAGCCTGGAGCAGTTGGAGAGCCAGAACTTGAGCCTGAACCTGAGCCTGGAGCACCTGGAGCACCCGCATTATTAGTGACCTGTCGAGCAACAGTTGTGAAGATTGTGGCAGTGTTCATTTCAGTAACTACGTCAGTGGAACTCTGTAGTGGTGAAGACAGCATAGGAGATACAGAGTCTTTTCTAGTAGAAGAAGTTAGAGGACCCTTGGATGTGCTTTCGATGTTAGGCGTTACAGCAGCAGCAGAGTGTGTGATTTCTTGGTCAGCGGAAGTGGAAGGAGTTGAAGACAGACCACTTTCGGGCATTAGTGGTGTAGTAGACCTGGTTTCACTTGCAGTCGAATTACCATAATAACCCCTCCTGGGAGTCTTAACGTAGTAAACAGTCTGGGTGGTTGGCTTACCGTCAGATCCAGTGAACGTAGCGGCACCAGTCGAAAAGGTCGACGTGAAGGAACCGGTCCATCCGGTGTAAGAGGTCGAAGCACCAGTTGGTGTCTCAACAACATACACGGTTTGGGTAGTTGGCACACCGTCGGAGTCCGGTGAAAGTTGTCACATCGGTGGCGATAGTTGATGTGTAAGAGCCAGTCCAGCCGGTGTAAGAGGTCGAAGCACCGAGTTTGGGGTCTCAACGTAGTAAACAGTCTGGGTGGTTGGCTTACCGTCAGATCCAGTGAACAGT